GAGAGCCCATGTGGGCAAAAGACACCCCTGAGTTCTCCTTTGCTGTGGTCTCTGGCTGCTCCCCTGACCTTTTCCTCTCCAAGGCTTCTCCCCTGGGGTCTTCCCAGGCCTCCTGCTCATCCTCTGTCACATATCCTGTCTGGGAATGCAGTCCATCCCTCAAATTGGATGCTCAAATTGGCCACCTCCAACCTCGACACATTCATTCAACAACTGTTCACTGAGCACTTAACCATGCCTGGCTCTGAGACTACTCCTCACCCCCCTCCCCCAGGGAGGGCAGTCAGGGAGGGGACACAGATGACAAACAAGCACAGGATGACAAGTGTGACGAAGGAATGCACCTTCCCTGACCACCTTGAGAAAACCAGTGCTTTCCCCCAGTCCTCCCCTCAACCCAATCCCAGCACCTCCCCAGTTCCTCATTAGCACTGGTCACTGTGGTAAATAGGCATTGCTTTGTGCATCTCGGGTCTGGAATGGTTTATTGAATGAGGTGGGTGCTTGGTAACAGTTACTGCAGGACAACAGGAAAGGAGGGAAGGTGAAGAGGAAAAACCAGAGAACAAATTACAGAAGGCAACGAGAGAACCAGGCAGTTGGAGAAGCCCCTGTGAGAAGGCAGTGTCTGAGCTTGAAGACAGCGAAGAGCTTTCCAGACAGAAGTGACAGCGAGCACCAAGGCTGGAGTTGGCAAACTGGGAAACAGGGGAGAAGGCCAGTCTGGCTAGATTTTCATCTGGGAGCAGATGAAAGCAGGAAGAAGGGGGCAGGCATTTGGTGCAGTGCTCAAGACTCCACTTGGAATGCTCACATCCCATATCAGAGTTCCTAGGTTCCTGTCCTGACTCCAGTTTCCTGCTAATGCACACTCTGGTTGGGGGTGGGGAGAGCAGAGGGAGAAGCACCAGCAGTGATGGTTCAAGTGCTTGGGCCCCTGCTACCCATGTGGAAGACCTACCTCGGGGTTCTTGGTTCCTGACTTTGGCCACCTGTGGGCACCAGGGGGAGTGAGTTAGTAGATGGAAGATCTCTGTCCATCTGTCTCCTTCCAAATATAATCAATCAATCATTAGAGTTGGAAGTGCTCAAAGCAGAAATGCATATTGTTCATAGAGGGCCTTGTAAGCAATGGTGAGGACATATTTGTTTATTATTTCTTAAAGATTTATTTTTTATTTGAAAGGCAGAGTTAGAGAGAAAGAGAGAGAGAGAGAGAGAGAGAGAGAGAGAGAGAGAGAGAATCTGCCAGCTGCCAGTTCACTCCCCAAATGGCCACAATAGCCAGAGCTGGGCCAGACCAAAGCCAGGAGTTCAGAGATTCTTCCAGGTCTCCCACATGGGTATAAAAGCTCAAACTTGTGGGCCATCTTCTGCTGCTTTCCCAGGCCATTATCAGGGAGTTGGATGGGAAATGGTCCAGCTGGGACTAGAGCCACCACCCATATGGGATGCCAGCACTGCAGGTGGCAGCTTAACCTGCTAGGCCACAATGCCAGCCCCTCTATTTTATTTTATCTTTTTTAAGATTTGGTTATCTATTTTAAAGGCAGAGTTACAGAGAGCCAGATGCAAAGAGAGAGAGAGAAAAGTCTTCCACCTGCTGGTTCGCTCCCCAGATAGCCACAATGGCTGGAGCTGAGCCAAACTGAAGCCAGGAGCCAGGAGCCTCTTCCAGGTCTCCCATGTGGGTGCAGGGGCCCAAGGACTTAGGCCATCTTCTACTGTCTTCCCAGGCCACAGCAGAGAGCTGGATCAGAAGTGGAGCAGCCAGGACTCAAACTGGTGCCCATATGGGATGCTGGCACTGCAGGCAACAGCTTTACCCACTACACCACAGCACTGGCTCCTATTTTATTTTTTAAAAAGATTTATTTATGGGACCAATGTTGTGGCACAGCAGGTTAAGCCATGACTTGGAATGCCAGCATCCCATGTGGACATCAGTTTGAGTCCCAGCTGCTCCACTTCCAATCCAGCTCCCTGCTAATGCACCTGGGAAAGCAGCAGAAGACAGCCCAAGTGCTTGCGCCCCTGCACCCCGTGGGAGACTCAGAAGAAGCTTCTGGCTCCTACCTCCTGGTTTTGGAGTGGCCCAGCTTCAGCCATTTCTGCCATTTGAGGACTGAACCAGCATATAAAAGACTCTCTCCATTCTTCCCTCTCTCTAACTCTGCCTTTCAAATAAATAAATAATCTTTGTGGAGCCAGGACTTGCATACAGGCACTCAATATGGGGTTTGGGCATCCCATTTCTTTCCCAACAACTGGTGGTGTCGTAGCTGCTACACCAAACACTGGCTCTAGCTGACCCTTCTCATATCCAACCCTGTACTGGGCAGCCTGGGACTCCATGTCTGAATCCAAGCAGTCCTTGTTCTTGTAGAACTTCTGGCCTACTGGGGAGACAGACCTAGACCCAGACAGGGACCACACCATGTGCTCAGAACTGTGTCAATTGTCATAGAACTCTTTGCTGATGAGGTGACGTAAGCTGAGTAGGAGCTGGTCCATTGGGAGGCATGGGGCACCTTAGGAGAAGACACAGCTTACTCAAAGTTTTTGGGGATATGGAAATATCCAGGGGAAATAAGTAGAAAAAGAAGATGTCTGGGTTGGAAAGGGAAAGGGAGTGAGAGGGTATGGAGAAGCCAGGGTCAGGTTACGGCAGGCCTGGAAAGTCAGGGTAAGGAGCTCACGCAAGGCAGTTGGAACATCTGGGGAGGGGTGGGCGTTTGGCACAGTGCTGCAGCTGCTCCTTGGGATGCTCATATCCCATATCGAAGTGCCTGTGTTCAAGTCCAGGCTGCTCTTCCGTTACCCAAAGCTCTGTCCCTGTCCTTGGTGCCAAAACCAAATACTGAGGACAAGGTTTGAGGGTAAAGGAAAGAGTTTTGTCTGTTAACAGATGAGGACAACAGCAGCTTAGCAATCTCAAGCACTTCTGTCCTGCTTTAGTGAGGGCAGTCTGGGGTTTGTTGAAGCTGCTAAGAAGGCGGTCGGGAGGGCTGGTATCACAGAACATGCAGGAGGAGCAGCACATTTAGGGGAAGGGGTAGCTTTAATAAAAGCCAAAACTGGTCAGCCAGGTGCTGAAGCTTGCCATGACGTTGGGGCTCAGGCCTTTAGATTGTCTGTAAGTGGAGAGATTAACCCTACCTTGGAATGCCATTCCCAGAGCATGGGCAAAAGGACAACAATGTAGCCTTGAAGCATAATGTAACATAGCACTTTGTAACAGCAGCCTGGAAAACATCACTTGGCTAGAATTAGTGAGAGTGGAGCTGTGCACTGGATTATGGCAAGAACCAACTCCTGTAATTTTTACATCACCCTGTACCTGGTTATACTTCCAATTCCAGCTTCTTGTATGTGTACCTTGGGGGTCAGTAGTGATGATTCAAGTACTTGAGTCCCTGCAACCCACGTGAGAGCCCTGGCTTGAGTTCAGGACTCCTGGCTTTGGTTTACTCCAGCTCCAGTTGTTGAGGGTATGTGGGAAACGAGCCAAGCAGATAGAAGATCTCTATCTGTTTCTCTCTCTCTCTCTCTCTCTCTATCTCTCCATCTCTCCATCTCTCTGCCTTTCAAATTAAAAGACAAATAAGGGGCTGTGTGCTGCAGCATAGCAGATAAAGCTGCCACCTGCAGTGCTGGCATCCCATGTAGGTGCCAGTTTGAGTCCTGGCTGCTCCACTTCCCATCCATGGCCTGGGAAAGCAATAGAAAATGATCCAAGTCCCTGGGCCCCTGCACCCACGTGAGAGACCCAGAAGAAGTTCCTAGCTTCAGATTGGCCCAGCTCCAGCCTTTACAGAAATTTGAGGAGTGAATCAGTGGATGGAAGACCCCCACTCTGCCTCTCTGTAACTCTGCCTTTCAAAAAAATAATAAATACTTAAAAAAAAAACAAAATTAAAACATGAATTTCATAGAAAACTGAAATGCAAATATAACTTTGTTTTGGTGCAAAATAATTTTGAAATTAATAGCTTTTTTTTTTTTTTGACAGGCAGAGTTAGACAGTGAGACAGAGAGACAGAGAGAAAGGTCTTCCTTCCATTGGTTCACCCCTCCAAATGGCCGCTACAGCCGGCGCTCTGTGCTGATCTGAAGCCAGGAACCAGGTGCTTCCTCCTGGTCCCCCATGCGGGTGCAGGGCCCAAGCACTTGGGCCATCCTCCACTGCCTTCCCAGGCCACAGCAGAGAGCTTGACTGGAAGAGGAGCAACTGGGACAGAATCCAGTGCCCCAACCGGGACTAGAACCCAGGGTGCCGGCGCTGCAGGCAGAGGATTAGCCAAGTGAGCCTCAGTGCCGGAATAGGTGTTTTCTATGGGCTTCATGGAAATGCTACATACCTTATTCACTTGAAAGACAGAGTAACAGAAAGGGAGAGAAAGAGAGAGAGAGAGGTCTTCCACCCACTAATCCACTCTCCAAATGTGTGCAACAGCCAAGCCGGTGCCATGCCCAAGCCAGGAGCCCAGAACTCCACCCAAGTCTCCCACATGGCAGGCAGGGGCCCAAGCACTTGGGCCATCATCTGCTGTCCCCCAGAATGCATCAGCAGGAAGCTGGATAGGAAGCAGAGCATCTGGGCCTGGAGCCTGCACTCTAACATGGGATGCAGCTGTCCCAGGCTGCAGCTTTACCCGCTGTACCACAACTCCTGCCCTTATCGGGAGATCTTGGACAGGAGGGATGACTCAGCACAGATGCTCTCTGGATTGGTCAGAACCTGGGGGCTGACTCACCCAGGTCCCTAGATCGAAGGGTACACAGTTTAAGGCAAAGAAGTGATCCTGAGCTTGAGGCAGTGGAGAGAAGGTGGAGGTTGCGCCGGGAAACAGTGCTCCGGGGAGCAGCCTTCTGCCTTGATAGGGCCTGATTCAGCTAAATAAAGCTGGGGCGGGGGGGGACAAGCCCCTGGGGGACTTATCGGCTCACTGCCCCCGAGGTAACCATTAATCCCTCCCCTGGGGGAGTCCAGGGCCTGGTCCCTCAAGGAGCAGATCCTGGGTAGAATGGAGGAACACATGGAGGCAGGCTCCAGACTGGGGCTGGGGGACCAGCGGGCTCTCATCGACAATCCTGCTGACATCGCGGTCATTGCTGCTTATTTCCTGCTGGTCATTGGTGTCGGCTTGTGGGTGAGAAGTTGAGGGGCTGCTGCGGAAGGCTGAGTTTCTGGGGTTTGGGATAAAAGCCTTAGGGAGACCCAGGTGCCGCTGGGGGGAGGGAGAGACTTGGGGCTGGGGAAGGGCAAGTGCCTCTTCCAAGTCTGGTCTATATTCATCTCTCATCTTGCTCCCCTTGGGTTTTGCTAGTTGAGTGGTCGGTGGGTTTTCTTTAGGGTCAGCATTCTATAGGGAGAGGCCTCTGCCTCCCCGTCCCTAGTACAACCGGCCAGCAGCCTGGGTCCCAGGGCCCCAGGAAAATCAGGCTGACTCCAGCAATGTTTGGGCTGGAGAAGTTGGATAAGAGGCTCAGGGCCTGGATGGCTCTGGGTACCTGGGGGATGGGGTGCAAACAATCCAGGGGAGTTGAGGGCTAGTTAATCTTCAGCCTGAGACAAGGCTGAGGAATGTGTTGAGGAGGCTAATGAGCTAATGAGGTCCAAAGATGTGCCCCAAACCCCAATCTCTCCCTCCCCCAACTTCTACCCCCCAAGTCCATGTGCAGAACCAACAGAGGCACCGTGGGTGGCTACTTCCTGGCAGGACGAAGCATGGTGTGGTGGCCGGTGAGAGGGGCTGGGCCAGGGAAGGGAGGGGGCCCAGGGAACCATTGCCTGGCTCAATTCCCATCTCCCGCCCACCTAGGTTGGAGCCTCTCTCTTTGCTAGCAATATCGGCAGTGGCCACTTTGTGGGCCTGGCAGGGACCGGTGCTGCAAACGGCTTGGCTGTGGCTGGATTTGAGTGGAATGTGAGACCTTTTTTTTTTTTTTTTAATTGACAATAACCCCATCCGCAGCTGGCTGTGCTTCGGTTCTTGAGCAGGGAGTGTGAGGAATGCAGGGACCCTCTTGGGAGGGGCTGGCCAGGGATGATGGCTGGGGAGAGAGCAAAGAGGCCCAGGAATGTGTCAAACAAGCATCCCTTGAATGCTCAGGGTCCAGGGCAGTCCTGCGCAGTTGTCCGCTGGGTGGCGCCAAGAGTGACCCTTCTCAGGGTCATCCGTGGCACCTTCCAAAGCAAACATCTCCTGGAGCCTTCGGGATCGAGGGCAGGCTCGGGGCAGGGTCGCAGGCACCGAGACACCCTTGTCTGTCGCGCTGTGCCCGCAGGCGCTGTTCGTGGTGCTGCTCCTGGGTTGGCTGTTCGCGCCGGTGTACCTGACCGCAGGCGTCATTACGATGCCGCAGTACCTGCGCAAGCGCTTCGGCGGCCATCGGATCCGCCTCTACTTGTCCGTGCTCTCGCTTTTTCTGTACATCTTCACCAAGATCTCGGTGCGCACGCGCGGTGGGCAGGGCGGGATCCTAGCAGGCCCGGGCCACCTAGTGGAGGTCGCCGGAGAACCTGGGGAAGAGATGGCTGAGGGTCCGTGGAAGGAGCCACGGCCGTGGTGGGTGGGCCCTGGGAACCTTGGCGGTGTGGTAGGGTCGTGGCCCACACGGGAAGGGGACCTGGGTCAGTGCTCTGGCCAGGGAGTCCTGACCTCTGGGCTCCCTCCTTCCTTCCTCCAAGGTGGACATGTTCTCCGGGGCGGTGTTTATTCAGCAGGCTCTAGGCTGGAATATTTACGCTTCGGTCATCGCGCTCCTGGGCATCACCATGGTTTACACCGTGACAGGTGGCCTGCGGGACGACACCCGCATGGGATGCGCGGGCCGGGAGCTGCGGGCGGGGCTTCGGGGAGCCTGATGCCAAGGCGGGCTTAAGGGCCCAGCCAGGATAGCATGGAGCTGAAGCTTGGACGACAGAAAGTCACTCTCTCCTACTGCTCAGGGAAGCAACTGGGACCTGGTAGAGGCTTGGAGAGGGGTCTCACGGGGGGATGCCTGCCCAAGAGAGCATCAGCAGAGTCTCAAACTCGGCGATTCTCTGCTCACTGAGCCCTGCTTCCTGGTGCCCAAATGCACGACCAGCGGTGACACAGGGCCGGTCATTTTGAAGTTCGTTCTCCCAATTTATGAGGTCACCAGCTGGGCTGTCCCCACTGACCCAGACCTGTTGCAGGAGGGCTGGCAGCGCTGATGTACACAGACACAGTGCAGACCTTTGTCATCATCGCGGGGGCCTTCATCCTCACCGGTTACGGTAGGGGGCACAGCCAGCAAGGGGACGGTACCGGGGCCGAGGGAAGAGAGGGTCCTCCACCTCGGGGCAGGGACATCGCGCCTCCCTGGCACGTGGGTCCTAAGCAGGACTCTGGCACGGTGCCCGCACAGCCTTCCACGAGGTGGGCGGGTATTCCGGGCTCTTCGACAAATACATGGGAGCGATGACTTCGCTGACGGTGTCCGAGGACCCGGCTGTGGGCAACATCTCCAGCTCCTGCTACCGACCCCGGCCTGACTCCTATCATCTGCTCCGGGACCCTGTGACGGGGGACCTACCATGGCCCGCGCTGCTCCTGGGGCTCACCATCGTCTCGGGCTGGTACTGGTGCAGTGACCAGGTGTGCCGTCAGGGCTTGGGCAGCGGAGGCTGGGTTGGAGCAGAGCCCTAACTTCTAGGGGGTGGAGCTAAGACAGGTGCAGCCTGAATCCATCCCACCGAGGGGGGCAGGAACCAAGCCAGGGTGGAGCTAAACCAGGTGGAGCTGGATGCCGTTGATTCCTAGGGCAGGATCTGAGAAAGCAGATGAGGCTGGGCCAGACGCTGAATTAGTGGGGTCGGGAGGCTGCGGTAGAGGAAGACCCAGTCGACGGGGTTCAGGGAGCCAAGGCAGGGAGTTGAACTCCCCTTCCCCCGTCACAGGTCATAGTGCAGCGCTGCCTGGCCGGGAGGAACCTGACCCACATCAAGGCAGGCTGCATCTTGTGTGGCTACCTGAAGCTGACGCCCATGTTCCTCATGGTCATGCCAGGCATGATCAGCCGCATCCTTTACCCTGGTAACGTGTGCATCCTCACCCCGCACGCAGCCCTGGGTCCCGTCCAGTCCCCTTTTTGTGCAAAAATCAGGGTGCCCGTCTCCCAGTCTCCCAGCCCTGCCTCCCATGAGGCGCCCCTTCTACCCTCCGCTAGGATTCCCACCTCCCGCTTCAGGGGAGCTCAGATCCCAGCCTAGGACCGCTCCTAGCCGCGCAGTGGCCTCTTTCCCGCAGACGAGGTGGCGTGCGTGGCGCCTGAGGTGTGTAAGCGCGTGTGTGGCACGGAAGTGGGCTGCTCCAACATCGCCTATCCGCGGCTCGTTGTGAAGCTCATGCCCAACGGTGAGGGCGGGCGCAGACGCTGTGGACGGCCGCCGGGAGGGCACACCCCTAGCCGAGCCCCCCTCCCCGCCCCCGCCTCACGGCTCCTGTCGCCCTCACAGGTCTGCGCGGACTCATGCTGGCGGTCATGTTGGCCGCGCTCATGTCTTCGCTGGCCTCCATCTTCAACAGCAGCAGCACTCTCTTCACCATGGACATCTACACGCGCCTGCGGCCCCGCGCCGGCGAAGGCGAGCTGCTGCTAGTAGGACGGTGCGGCCCGGGCTCCCAACTCCTGCCGCGCAATGCTCAGCCCGGGTGGAAGGCACGAAGCACCCCGGCTACAACCTCCCGCTGGCTTCCCATGGCAGGCTCTGGGTGGTGTTCATCGTGGCGGTGTCGGTGGCCTGGCTACCTGTGGTGCAGGCGGCGCAGGGCGGGCAGCTCTTCGATTACATCCAGTCCGTTTCCAGCTACTTGGCCCCGCCTGTGTCTGCAGTCTTCGTGCTGGCGCTCTTCGTGCCGCGCGTTAATGAGAAGGTGCGCATCGTGCCCGGTTGGCGACCTTGGGACAGGGTTTGGTAGTCCTGAGCCGGCTGATTCCATCTCCCCCCACAGGGCGCCTTCTGGGGACTGATAGGGGGCCTGCTAATGGGCCTGGCACGCCTTATTCCCGAGTTCTCCTTCGGCACGGGCAGCTGCGTGCGACCCTCTGCTTGCCCGGCGTTCCTGTGTCGGGTGCACTACCTCTACTTCGCCATTGTGCTCTTCTTCTGCTCTGGCCTCCTCATCATCATCGTCTCCTTGTGCACTGCACCCATCCCACGCAAGCACGTAAGTGGCAGCCTCTGGGTGGCCTGGGAGCCCCAAATATGCCCCACTGTGAGCCAGAACCACCATCGCCACCCCCATCTGCTTCCAGCCCCACCCATGGGGAGAACCTGACTACTGCCTGTTTGTGGCTGTGAGGTTGGCAGGCTGGGGTCCACAGCAAGCCTGTTTTTATTTCAATGACATTCATTTCAAGTGGTTTGGGAGGAGGGAGCCTGAAGATTTTAGAAGGCTGCTAATTAAAGCTCCACTCCCCTCCCAAGCCAATCCAACACAGCCTTTGGAACCCGACCCACAGGACCTTGCTGGTGGCTGAGGACAGAGTGCCCTCCTGAGAGCTCACCAAACACTTCGGTTTTGTGCAGCTGCAGGGCAGGGCTGAGCGAGTGGGGGAGGGGAGGGACAGAAACGGTGGGCCAGGAAGGATGGGTGGGATGCCACAGCAGCAGGAGGAAACCAAACAGACCAGAGTGCTGAGTCCAGTTCTAGGTGCAGACAGCAGGCTTGAGGCGATGAAGGTCTGAGTGAGCTGAGGCTGGGTTGGGGGCGCACTGGATAGAGGGTGGGCAGTCCCAGGGCTGGTGTGACAGCGAGGACAACAGACCTCAGGACCGGGGCCTGGGCTGGGGGAACAGGACTCCCACTCGGCCCCTGCTCCCACCCTCCCCAGCTCCACCGCCTGGTTTTCAGTCTCCGGCACAGCAAGGAGGAACGGGAAGACCTGGATGCTGACGAGCTGGAAGCCCCGGCCTCTCCCCCTGTCCAGAACGGGCGCCCAGAGCACGCAGTGGAGATGGAAGGTATGGGACTGATCAGGGAGGGGGTGCTGAGGAGGGGGAGCTGGGGCAAGCTCCCTCAAACTCACTGTCAGGCCTCAATTTCCCTCAGAGCCCCAGGCCCCGGGCCCAGGCCTGTTCCGCCAGTGCTTGCTGTGGTTCTGTGGAATGAACAGGGGCAGGGCAGGTGGCCCCGCACCCCCTACCCAGGAGGAGGAGGCTGCAGCGGCCAGGCGGCTGGAGGACATCAACGAGGACCCGCGCTGGTCCCGGGTGGTCAACCTCAATGCCCTGCTCATGATGGCCGTGGCCATGTTTTTCTGGGGCTTTTATGCCTAGGGCCGACTGTGTTGGGCATCACGAGCCACAGGTCAGGACAGGGCTGGCCGCACAATGAGCAGGGATCAGGAGCCTGCAGCGGTCCCCGGAAAGGGGGAAGGGGCAGGAGTGGTATGGGAAGGCCCAGTCCATTTGATTGGCAGTCACTTCCACGAGGCCTCAGCCAAGCTGCCCTAACGGTTTCCCTCAGCAAAAATAAAGCAGCCGTTCCCACAAGTTGCCGTGGCCAGTGTCCTTGTCCGGGCTGCTCATGAGACCTTCTTTTCCGGAGTCTGGAGCCACGAGGCCCTCCACTCATCCACCTCAAGCTGGTGCTTCTCGGTCTTCCAGCCGGCAGCCTGCAGCCCTGGGGAGGGGTCAGGGTGCTGCTGAGAATGCTGGGGAGGAGCCTGCGGGCTGGCCCTGGCCCTGGGGAGGCGGGGAAGGAGGACACGGGCCAGGTGCTTAGGCTTCCGGGACGACCTCGGCTGCCTTCCCTTCTGCCATAAAAGAGGTGAAAACTTCACCTGCTGACAGCAAGAATTCACCGAGCTAGCACGAGGAAAATGCTAGAATGGAGGCAGTGCTGCACAAAAGGTCACCATCAGTCAGCGGGAGCCCCTCTCCGCCCCCACCTCCCGAAAGCCAACCAGGAATACCCAGCCTATCAGCGCGACACAGCCCCAGACACCGTCCGATAGACGGGGGACTGGGTCCCTGAACCTCAGAACACCCAGAAAAGCCAGGTAGGTGGGAGAGCAGGCAGCAGAGAGCTGGGGCTCAAGGATGTTACCTTTCAAGAACTTTGGGAACAGCTTGTCCAACACCTTGTGCGTCTCCTTCACGACCACCCAGCTATCTTTCTCAGGACCTGGGGTGCACAACCAGCAATTCTACAGCCCTCCAGGGGCACAGGCGGTACTTCCCCTCCCTCCCCTGCCCCCCCCACACCACTCCACTCCACGTCATGAGTGGTCCAGTTTATGAGGCCCTCACCTGCCCGCACCCATCTCCTCAGCTCCTCCAGCTCTCCTGGAAGGGGTCCGTCTTCCCGCAAGGCTCCCAGCACCAGCCCGTGTGTGGCGGCTCTTAGGACGGTCTCAGGGCCTGCCATCTGGCTCAGAACTACCTGCACCTGGTCTGGAGAGCCAGGGCAGACAGGTAGCAGAGAGGGGCCACTTCCCACCCTCAACCCAACCCCCCTGCTTCACGCCTGTCTGCCCCAGGGGGCTGAGCTAGCCCTGGAAGGCCATCTTCTCACTCTTTCCTACCAACTTCACTTCCTGCGCCCCCCTCCCCCGAGTGTTCTGGCCATACAGAAATTCCCAATTCCCAAATACTACTTCACCGCAGCTCAGTGAGGTGGGCTTATTTTGCACTTCTTTAGTGGCTACTGAGAATAAGCACCTTTAACCCGTAACCAGTAGTATCAGTAAACTCAGGGACTTGTTCCCCCAAGAAGAGTGGCTCCCCAGGGACAATGCACCCAGTGCCTTTCTTTAACCGCCTTATTTGATTCTCAGATTAACACTGTGGGGGATAAGGCAGGCACTGTTGGCGCCACCTTGCTGCACCGGGGCGGCAGCTCTAAGTCCTAGTCTGGAGCAGCCCCCTGGGACACCAGCGGCCTCCAGCTGGTCCAAGGTCTGGGTCCAGACCCCAGTCAAGAGCAGGGAGGATGTGCCCCACTTACTTCGTGACTGGTCCCAGCAGAGGAGGTAGGGCTCCTGGTGCCCGTCAATCAGCTGCTGCAGCTCAGACATACTAGCAGGGAAGAGAGTGCAGGGGGAAGCCAAGAAGGAAGGCCATAGACGGCTGTCAGCGCCACTGGGCGCACTTCCGGCGTCTGTCCGTCACTCACCCCCCTCCACCTAGCCCAGCCTTTCTCTTGTACCCAGCCACCATGCTCCCCATCCACCCATCCTTCCTACCCCCAACAAACACATCCCTGTACCTCCTCTGAGGCACACACCCTGCTGCCCCACCTCACACACACACACACACACACACACACACACACACACGCTGAACCCAGGTCTATTCAGACAGGGGGATACAGCTGGGAAGCCACTGTGTGACCCACTCAGGAGCCTGACGGCAGCTGTGAGGAGTGGGAGGCACTGGGCCGCTCACCTGGAGACCAAACAGTGTAGAGGGACCCCCAGGGATAGAGCCGGAGACGGTGAGAAACCTATGGGAAGCTGGAATCAGGACGCTGGGCAGTGGGGAGAGGCTGGGGAGACACAGGCCTCGGGACGAGCAGTTGAGTCACCTGTCCACAGCGGCTCCATCTGATTGGCTGGCGTGGGGTCAAGTACCTCCCCCTGCTGAAGAAAGTGCTTCAGGACCAGCCGCAGCCGGCTTTCATTCAAGGTCTCCATGACAAGGGCTCGGACGGCCCGGTAGTTGGCATAGATGTGGAGGGCAGTGAGGAGGAAGAAACACCCGAGGCTGACGCTGGGGAAGACAAGGTGAGGTGGCCAGTGGGGGTGGCAGCCCAGCCGGCACCAACTCCGGCCCTTGCTCCCGGCTTACCTAGGGCAACCTGACACCAGGGGAAGCATCAAGAGGCTGACCAGGAGCCCTGCCAGGTTCACCAGTGTCTCCTGGAAAATGGCAGAGGGGTCAGGAGCTAGAGGGCGCCCTCCACACCAAACGCCCCTGAGTGCTTCCAGCACTCTCCTCCCGGCTCCAAGGCCTCCTGGGGCCCCTTCCTCTGAGGGGGCTGCCAAGTACATTCTTAAGATTTTTGGGGAGTGAGCTGTCAGTGGAAAGAAACCAGCCGCTCCTCTGCCGGGGCAGACACACAGCCTCTGGAACACACCTTTGATTGGCAAGACTCATCTGTGTAGCCCACACTCAGAGACTCATTCCCCTGTGAGTGGGTGACAACTCTTATTGGTGGCTTGAAAAGGTCAAACCTGGAGATGCCTTAGTGTGCAGACAAATCCACAGAGGGCTCAAGGAACCACATAGGAAGAGAAAGAACCAGACCAAACCTTTCCCCTCGCCAATCTGTTATCAGACCCCTCTGATGGCTGGACTGAGGTCACCCCAGGGGAAAAGACCCTCAGCTCCCTGCCCTCAGCTCGTCATGAAAGAGGAAACTGGACTGGTGACACTGACCACTGACGCCCCGGGAAGAGTCAGTTTTGGCACAGAGAGGGCCTTGGGTAGACAACTCTTCTCCCCCAGCCCTCGTGGGCTAAGGGCATAAAGGCTGAGGGTGTGGCAGTGAACTGGGGTCAGGGACCTGGGGGGCTCAGGAGCAGAAGGTGGGAACAGTCACTCCCAGCAGCTGTATCGAGGGGCAACAAGGAGACATCAGCAGCAGGTGGGGTGAGGCACCTGTGCCAGGCCGCCCTGTGATGTGATGCTGCTATGGACTGAGACAGCCTGGAGCCTTCGGAAGGAACAGCCTGGGAGTGGGGGTAGTGCTTGGCGCCAGCAAGAGAGCAGGTGAGAGCTGGCATGGAGCCAGGGGACCCTGAAGAGGACAGCCTGGGATGTGCAATTCCTCCCCATCCCCACACCCAACCCCATGGCCTCCAGATCTAGGGCCAGGGGAAGTTAAGGGGAAAAACTGGTTTAGTCATTTCCTGAGAGAAGGGACTTGTCCAAGGGCACTCAGGGGTACTGGACCTCTCTGTGCTCCGTTTCCTCAACTGAAATGGCCACAAGAAGTCCTTTCTTGCACAAGACCATCACAAGGACTTAATGAGTTCATAGACATGAAATACTTGGCACGTGGTTAACGACTAGTTACTATCAGCTTTGTCACTATTAGGTCAGAAAGTGGGACTGGAGAGAACGGAGGTTTCCAAAGTGTTTTAGTGTCAAAAGAAAACTATCTTGGACTTCTGGGATCCCCGGCCTTATGCTCCCCATCTGTTAGCCCCAGGTGGCAACCCAGCCACCTTGCAGGGCTGGAAAGGGTTAAATCGTTCTACACACGCGAGCGCTTAGCACAGGGGCTGGGGGAATCTAGTGCTCGCAGGTTTGGTCTGAGGGGTGTTATCTTGGTCAGGTGGACCGACTTGGTCAGCAGAGCTTGCTAAACTGCTGAGCGCACACTTCCGGCCAGTGACCCCGATGAACCCACATGCTGAGCACCTTCTGACTTGCCCAGAGCTTCACACGGGGGCCCTCACGTGATCAGCACAGTCAGCTCCCAGGTTGGGGCAGTGCCCACAGGGCAAGGGCAGGGGCTCACTCCTGGCCATGCACACAGAGTGGGTAGGGCTGTGAGCATTAGTGGACCTGCCACCACCAGAGCCTAACAACAGATGCTCAGAGTCCAAGCACATTGCACTTAGGTTCCTTCCCCTCCCTCCCACCCAGGGGTGCTCAGGTGCTTCTCTCCTGACCACCCAGTGTCACTTGGCCTGCAGCCCCCACTATCCCAAGCACACACTCCCTCCACTCCTGGCTGCTCACCTGGCTGCTATCCTTGGCGGACACGTCGGCCATGTTGTTCCTGCGGGCCTGGTGCACGGTCAGCGCAGCCCGCGTGGCCCCACCAGCCACGCTCACAATGCACTGGGTGGACAGAGGGAAGGGCATGGGTCAGGGCGGCCACATGGTGCGCACAACACAAGCGTTTCAGTGGGCCAGCCATGTGAGAGGACCAGGCCTCGAGTGACCCTGGGGCAAATTCCTGAATGCTGTCCTTGTCATGTGGTTCTCACCACGCACTTCCTCTGGGCTCACCTGCCATCTCGTTCCAGAAGCAAGCTGAAGTCCTTCCTGCACTATCACCTGTAGACCTGGTCGCAAGGAAACTCAATTTCCTTCCCCAGGGCAGAGGCCCCAAGGTCACTCTTCGCCCAGAAGGTCCCCCTCCTCCAACTCCTACTTTGGCTGCATCCTCTCCACTGACCAGCGACCAGGCCCAGCCTGGCTTCCCACTTCACGTGATGTTCCCCCTAACCTGTAATTCTACTACACTTCCTGGCCCCATGAAGCCCTGGCCAGCCTGGCAAGCCAGTCCAAAACGTACGCTGGTGGCTCTGACTGAACCTCCAGGGCACCCAAAATCTCTTCCTCTGAGATCTCATGGTGGCAAAGGTCACTGGTCACTCTCATTCATCCCACATCTCACTACACCTCTTTCAGATGCCAACACAGACGGAGGTGCTGCAGTACAAGTTAAACGTGGGCCCTGCCCTCACGCAGCAGAGATCAACAGATGACAAACCAGTTACTCCATAGGCAGAGAAAGCTTACACACAGCCAAGAGAAATGCAGGACAAAAAAGAGGCTGGAGCGACTGGCAGGGAGCTGACCACGGCGAGTCCTGTGAGCCTTGCCAAGCGTTTATCCTGAGAGAAACAGGGCAGGGAGCTGCCTTGACCCGACTCCCATTTGTAAAGGATTATTGGGCCCCTCTGACAAGGACAAAGGAGGGATGAGAACGGAAGCAGGGACACCACCCAGGAACTCATCGTGCTGTTTCAGCTGAGGTGACAGGGAGGTGGAGGAGTGAATGGGCTGGAGACAGCAAGGAGGGAAAAGGAACAGAGTCGAGTCAAGGTTTCGCTGAAGGTGAGGGGATGGGCAGAGACCGAGGCCCCAAAGATAGAGGATAACGCAGAATCTGAAGCACACATCCAAAGTCGCAATCCTCAGTCCAACCCCTCGGTCCCCAGGGGTGGGGGGAAGGGGTGCTCAGCACTTGATCCCCAAAGGCTCATGTTCATGGATTATAGCTAACAGCCAAGGGATGAAGAGTGGAAATGTAACCCTGTTGCACAGTCTGAAGGCAGGGCCTTTGGCAAGTGAAGAGACTATAGTAAGTGGTCAGGGTGGTGCCCCCATGAGCCAGTCACGGTGGCTTTATGAGGAGAGGCCACGCAGGCATAGATGAAGGGCCAGGTTCCACATCACTCCTCCACACTGGCTCTGCCATCCCCACCCACCAGGCTCACCAGATAGTAGAACCAGCTTTGGGCTGGGAACCTCCAAAAACATAAGCCAAAAAGAAAGCTCCTCCTTCCTCAGTGGCTTGTCTTAGCCATTTTGTTACAGGGATGAAAAGCTGGTTAACACACTGTGCCCAGGGAGTCCTCTACCACAAAGCACCATTGTACCCAGTATATGGCTGGGTGTGAGAAGAAACATCTGAACTTGCTCACTTTCTAGAAGTACCGGGGCCTAGTGGCACCTCTACACAAAGTACCACCAAGGCAGGTGTCTTGGGCTAGGGGTGCTCCCAAAGGTGGGTACCTTGGCCAGGTTGCTGGTGCTGACGGTCATGGTGAAACAGACTGGGAACACAGGAGCCATAATCTCCAAGAACATGGCAATATCGTTGAGGATGTCAGCGAAAAGCCTGGGGGAAGGATCAGAGGCCAGAGGTCAGGGGTCAGAGGTAGGAGACCTTCACCCCCCACCCCCGGGCCCAGCCCCTCCTCACCTCCACTGCTTCGCGTTACAGTCCAGTTTGCTCCTGTCAGGGAGGAGAGGTTGCTGCAATTCAGAGTTAAGGAGGAAACACATCCTGCGGGCAGGGTGGGGAGTCCTAGGCCATAGTAAGGTCTGAGGGGCCCAAGAAAAACCCACACCTCCAGCCGGAGGCCTGTCCCTATACCCTGTCCCTGCTGCCTGAACCGTGGTCATCGGCTGGGACGCCCTGCAGTGACCCCTCAGTGCTGTCCCCCTTACTAGCCCATGATGCACAAGGGAAAACCTGACTGTTCTGTGGCTGCTGCCCACCCTCCAGCCAGCCTGAGGCAGGCTGTTCATGGGCTCCTCTACCTGACACCGCATAGCGTGAGTAACTGGCCACGCTTGGAGTGCCGGCATCCCATATCGAAGTGAATGGGTTCCAGTCCTAGCTCCCCTCCTGCTATGTTCACCCTGGAGGGCAGCAGGTGATAGCTTGAATAACTGGGTCCTTGACACCCCTGTGGGAGACCTGGATTAATCTCCCAGTTCCCACCTTTGGCCTGGTCTAGCCTGGGCTATTGCAGGCCAGTGAGAAAGAGCCTGCAGATGGGCGAAGGATCCATCTCTCTTTCTGCCTTTCAAGTAAAATAAATTTAAAAAGCAAGAATCTGTAGCACAGCCTCGAGTTGTAACTTGTAATCTGGAGGGAAAGGGAGCACTCCTGCATCGGGAGCACACACAGGGCAGCTCTTGAACACTGTGGCCTGGCCCAGGGTTCTGCCCAATAAAGCAGCTTTATGCTGTGGGGACCTCATCTCACTAGCTGCAGGCCATCTGGCTGGCGCAAGCCATTTCCCTCTTCCAGGTGTTCATACCTGTACAACTGCACACACAGTGCTACCCTACAACGTTGTCACAAGGGTTAGAGACAGCACACAGAGGGGCTGGGGACCACAGGGGAAGCTGGTTAGGGCAGCAAATGTTACTACGGGCAGGTAACATGCTGGGCACTTGACACAATTATGTCCCACGAACCCTCACCAGCGCAGCGGCTGACTCCCGCCACTGGCGGGTGCTGTCCTGTGTCCACTGACCAGGAACACCGACTCACCCCTTCCACCAGGCAAAGATGATGCGGCCCAGCATGCCAGTTGAATCTGGGGAGAGAAGACACCATTGGTAAGGAAGGAGGATGAGACTTGGGAGCTGCGGGGTTTGGCAGTCCCTGGCACTGAAGTGATGGATTCACCCAGAGTTGCTGCCTCGGAAACCTGGCTTGGTTTGGTAAATTCTGGAAGGACACAGTTGCATGAGGGCTCAGAAGTGCCTAGACTTAGTTCCTCGGTATGCACTCAAAAGAACTAAGTGTACAAGCATACAGAGAGACATGGACAAGAAATGTTCTTTGCAGCGTTGTTCATAACTGGGATATTACAAATGTTCACTAGCAGGAGACCAAAAAAATGTTCACTCAAACTTCAGCAGTGAAAATCCAATGAACTACAACTATTCACAGCAACACGGATGAATACTAACGTTATAATGTCGTATGAGAGTAACTCAGGGCTGGCGCTGTGACGTAGTAGGCTGCCGGTATCCCATATGCTCACCGGTTCATGTCCCGGCTGCTCCTCTTCTAATGCAGCTCTCTGCTATGGCCTGGGAAAGCAGTAGAAGATAGCCCAAATACTTGGGTCCCTGCATCCACATGAGAGACCCACAAGAAACTCCTAGCTCCTGGCTTCGGATGAGCCCAGCTCCAGCCATTGTGGCCATTTGGGGAGTGAACCAGCAGATGGAAGATTTCTCTCTCCCTCTCTGCTGTAACTCTACCCCTCAAATATAAATAAAATCTTTTTTTTTTTTAAAGAGTAACTCACAAAGACAACACACAGCACAAAATAGTTTTCATAAAGCTCTAAAACAACTCACACTGTATAATTTCTGGGAACATATCTCTATTTGGTAAAACTATTCCAAAAAGCAGGAAATCTTAAGTGGAAAGTTCAGAGGTTACTGTTGATGTTCTAGCTCTTAGGCTAGCAGTGCAGTCGCAGGTCATTATAGGATAAATAAAGGATTTGGGCTGTGGGTTGGTGATACACTGTGGGTGGAGGGCAGACGGAGGGGCCCGCTCAGGCTGGGGAGAATAACCAAGTACCTAGAACCAGCTGGGTGTTCAGTTGCACAACTGCTTCCTGGCTGCTTACTGTGCACCAGGGACTTCCTGAAGCCAGGGGGATACTGCAGTGGCCCAGGAAGTCACAGCGCCAGCCTCAGAATCCGGCCAACAGCAGACAGCCGTCAATATGAAAAATACTGACGCAGACCAGGGATCGGTAAATCACGTGGCTTCCATCTTGTTTTCGTCAAGTTTTATTGGAACACAGCTATGCTCGTTTGTCTGTGGCTGTTTCTGTGACACAAGAGCTGTGACTGAGACTGGGGCCAGCAAAAGGCAGAATGTTTACCGCCTCACCCTCTACAGAAAACCTTGGCAAATTCCAATCCTCCTTTATACTGAGACAGTACCCATTACCGCCAGCAGGGGGATCATGAGGACGAACTGGCAGGGACTCCCCCAGGGGACACGACAAAGGACACAGAGGAAGCAAGACCACAATGATGATGATATACTGCACTGCAAACTGATGCACTGACCCCCCCCCCCCCCCGCAGAAGCCTCTATCCTTGGACATTGAGACCCATTTATTAATTTATTTTTATCTACTTGAAACGCATTCAGAGAGAGAGAGACTGTCCCATCTGATGGTTCACTGCAACCACTAGGGCTGGGCCAGGCCAAAGCAACGAGCCCAAAACTCCAGCTGGGACTGCCATGTGGGTAGCAGATGCCCAAGCAGAGTAGTTGGCACTGGAATTGGCATTCTAGTATGGGAGGTGGGAATCCCTAGGGGCAGCTTAACCCGCTGTACCACTGCACCTGCCTCACTGAGGGCTTGTAGCAGGCAGGCTCACCCAGCTGACTGTCTCTGGGTCCGAGACAGGCTGCTAAGCACTCTGCAGACACCGGAACACCGATGCTCCTCTCTCTTCACACAAAAAGCCTCTGAGCTTGGGAGGCATCGTTCCTTCACAGAGGAAGCAACTGAACCTCCAAGAAGACAGGTAAACAACGTGGATTTTTCTTTCGAGGAAATCTGGATTTCCAGTTTTTCTGATCACCCTGAAGACATGCTAATGTCTGGGCCTGCCTTCCTTCCCTGCCACCATCAGCCGGGGCTGGGCAGCGTGTGGACAACACGTTCTCACCCGGCCTGCTCTGCTTCCCGGAGCAACACCCTTCAGGGTGGCTTCCCAGGCCTCCTCTCTGCTGTCAATCACCTTCACCTCTCCCTTTCAAGTACATTCTATTCTCAACAGTTTGCTTTTCCATTTAAGATTCTGGTATTGGATCGGGTTAGTGATTTGGAACATGGCAAGATCACTCTCGCTAACCAAGAGGGAGCCCGCTAGGACAGACTGCATTCTTCTTCCAACCAGATGCATATCTTCCCTAGGACACTCGACACAAAGGGGGCCCTCTCTGCTCCTCTAATGTCAGTTTCCAGGGCCCGTGTCTGAATCAAGAGGGTGGCGCTCCGACACACTGATGACGCACACCCTGCCTGATATCTGAAAGGCAATCTGTCCATCAGAATAGGAAACATAATTCTCACCTGCTCTTGCCTCACTTAGTTAACTGAGCTATAAGATCTAGAAACTTGGGGCCGGCACTGTGACACAGTGCGTTAACGCCCAGGCCTGCAGTGCCGACATCCCATATGGGCGCCGGTTCGAGTCCTGGCTGCTCCTCTTCCAATCCAGCTCTCTGCTGTGGCCCAGGAAAGCAGTAGAAGATGGCACAAGTGCTTGGGCCCCTGCACCCACATGGGAGAACTGGAAAAAGCTCCTGGCTCCTGGCTTCGGATCAGCACAGCTCTGGCAGTTGCGGCCAACTGGGGAGTGAACCAGCAGATGGAAGACCTCTTTCTCTCTCTGCCTCTCCTCTGTGTAACTCTGACTTTCAAATAAATAAATAAATCTTTAAAAAAATATATCTAGAAACTTCTGAGTCTCAAAAAGCAATCAGCTGTCCACAAGTTGCTATTTGGCTCCACTTTGAAATCCCATTAGGCAAAGAGTTGTGGTAAAGAGTGGGACTCAGGAGTCCTGGGCCCAAATCCTGGCCCTGGGTGATATTGGTACAAGTTATGTCACCTCTCTGTGCCTCAGTTTCTCCATGTGAAAAAAGTTAATAATGGCATCCAACATAGCTGGCTGCAGAGATCAAGACCCATATGCATGCCCTATGGTGGGCTTTGAGGAGTCTTACCACGTGGGTTGTGACAGTCAACACTGTGTTTCATAGAGATCTGTATCTGAAAAGGATCGTATCAAGAAAGTCCAAGGGAGTTTCGCATACGAAGCCAGGCCCACAATTTTTCCATGTTTGATGGTAATAACCCCATGAAATCCTTTCTAATGAAGGCGGCTCCTTTTAGCATCAGTAACATGCTCCAGAGTACCTGGATATTTTTTTGTATCTTAAAATAGCCTTATTTTTAAACCTAATAACCTGTCTGAGCTGAAAACGTATCTAGGCCACCACGTTGGTGGTGAGATGGGGATGCTTAGAAACGACACAGAAATATTAGCTACTGACCCGAGTTCCGACTTCATTCCAAGCACTTAACCCACAGGAGAGCAATGGACAAGATCCAAAGTAATCCCAGTGTGCTGGAATGAAATCGGACTCTGGAGCTTAACCACCCAAATTCAAACCCAAGCACTACCACCTAATGTCTATGTGACCCTGGACAGGACACCGTGCCTCAGTTTCCTCACCTGTAAACGGAGGATAATGGCCACTTGCCACAGAATTATTTGGAAGACACGGTTTGGGGAGCAGGCGTTGTGGCAGAGAGGATTAAGCTGCCACCTGGGCCAGCTGCATTCCTGATCAGCCTCTGATCGAAATACCCTGAGTACCCTCTGGGAACGGTGCTGAGAGGTGAAGGTCAGCGGACAAAGCCACAGGACCTCTGGGTGTGGAACCCCCTCTACTTCTCTCCTTAGGAGGCAGAGGGCAGACACCATCTTTGTTTCTTAGTGATTGTGCACCAAGCCGTACACACCCAGCACACGGTCATTAGGGCTCTCATTCACGGCACATAGGATCCCGGGGTTGGGAGGGAGGGGAGCACTTTCCTGCTTTCCAGAATCTCCCTTCTCTTTGGGATCAGCCGTGTCCTTTCTTTCTGAAAATAACCCATTCCCACCATCACGGGCAGCGGGCACTTTTATTGGACAAAGTGCATTCTCGTGCAATCCTCCACAGACAGACAAGGCGTAATAGGGAGAGACTTGGGACCAGGTGATTAGGGGCTCTGAAGTTTGTACGTGGCTGCTAGGTTGCTGTGTGGGATAAGGGTATGCCCTCTTTGAGGGGTAAGGCTGGGGTGCGACAAGGCACTGTGTGAGATACTGGGGACACTTGGCTCCTGCATGCTACCTCATCACGCAGGAGTTCATAATATCACACCCTTCGGGAGCCCAGGATACTGGCAGAGGCACAAAGGAGGGGCTGGGCTTTGCAATGGGAAGACAAAGAGGCCAAGGCGAGAGCGGCAACCGCTGAGGCTTCCAGGGGGTGCAGCTCACCTTTCACGAGCCAGGTGGCCGTGGCAGCTGAGACAGTGGCTTTTGCGTTCCCCACCCCTAGGCCCAGCAAGACTGCCTGGGTGGCCAGGGAGCCGGAGAGACTGGAAGCAAAGGCCTGGAGAAGAAAAGAGGCGGAGTGAGGAGTGGGCACTGGGGCACAGAGGTTTACGTCGTTCCCCGCCATCCTTCTTGGTGTGTGGCCTGGGACACGTCACGGCCCCGCCCCGGGCCTCGATCGCTCGCTTAAATGTGTGGAGACAGCCAGAGCCTGCACAGACCCCTCTCCCATCTCCCTGTGTCCACCGGGCTGACCTGCACAGAATCCCACAGCTGGTAGGGCAGGTAGTCCGGGCTGACGCTCTCAGGGAAGCCCTGCGGCAAGAACACGGCCTGGAGCCCCGCGAGCGTCCGGGAAGCGGTGCCGGGGGAACCCCCTCCACCCCCATCTCGTCCATCTGGTTTCGCCTGGAAGACCCGGGAGAACCCCCGCCAGTGCCACCCTCCCGGCTCCCACTGCAGGCTGCCGTCGGCCGCGACGCGGCAGCCCCGGGCCGTCCCGGAGCCGAACTGCTCGGAGCACACAGCGGTCCCAGGAGCCCCGTCCTCAGCCATCCCGAATCTCCCGGTCCGAGCCCCGCCGGACGTGGCCACGGTCTCAGCTGCCACGACCACCAGGTTCACTTCCGGCTCGGCGACGGCGGCTGCGCAGGGACAATCTTCCTTCGCGAAGGGCGCGCGGCCCCAGCATCCTGTTAACAGCTGTCCCTAGCTTCCCGGCTCGCCTCGCACACCCTAGGAGCTGTCGGGCCTTTTATCTCTGTAAAGTTTAATGTGCCCTCTTCCCGTCCCGGGGTCCCCCTGAATCCCTTGTGACCTGAAAACTTCCAGTAATGGAGAGAAGGAAAGACGATGTCCGGAGAGACAGTTGTGTGGGAGACTTGCTGCAGCCACATCTTTACGCAAGTCCGCGGCTCTCTCTTCCGCAGTGTTGAGGGCAGGGACCATATCTTTATTCGTTTATCTCCTCGGTGACTCGCACGAGGTGTTTCAAGGGCCTGTGTGTGAGTGAATGCATGGAGAGCTGCCCAGGATCTGTGTTTCGTTGTTCTCTCCTTCTGGGAGCCCCTGGCCTCCACTAGAAATTCTCTCTAGCTCTGAGCCTGGGGGAATTTGATTTCCGAAACCTCATGCAAGGCTGAGAGAATTCAGTAATAGTGTCAGAAAACAAGAGCCCCAGACAAAAAGTTCCTGTTTATTTAATGGGAGAGGGAGCACAGGAAACCGGAAGTTTAAGACAGGTGTTTCTTTCCCTTCCAGATCACCTTTATCTCTTTTTCCCTCTCTCCTTCTCATGCAGTGCAATATATTTACTCAAGTAGAAGTTTGCCAAATGCATTCTTTCTTTAAAAATTTTTATTTATTTATTTGAAAGGTAGAGTCTTCCATCTGGTTCACTCCCCAGATGGCTGCAACAGCCAAGGGTGGGCCAAGTCGAAGCCAGGAGCCAGGAGCTTCTTCCAGGTCTCCCACGTGGATGCAAGGGGCCCAAGCACTTGGGCTATCTGCTGCTGCTTTCCCATACACATTAGCAGGGAGCTGGATCAGAAATGCAGCAGCCGGGACTTGAACCAGCACCCATATGGAATGCCGGCACTGCAGGTGGCAGCTGAGTGCTGGCCCCAAGCATCCTCTTTTTAATCAGAAAATAAAATACCCTGGTTTTTTAGCCAGCCTCCCACCAGTTTGACTTAAGCTGACAACTCCCTATTTGAAGCTTCTGATTGTTCCAAACTATCACCTTCCTCATGGACTTGAACCTGGAACGCCCTTCTACCCAGCCTCACCTTATCTCACAGCAGTGCAGTCTGAGGTGGAGATAACCCCAAGCAGTTCATTTGAAAAAAAAAAAAAAAAAGAAAGAAAGAATTAGTTTCCTGATAAAATGAAAAGTTGAAAGGCTACAAACATTATGTTACATTTTCTTCCTAAAGTTTTTCTTGTTTACTTACTTGAAAGGCAGAAAGAAAGCCAGCACCGTGGCTCACTAGGCTAATCCTCTGCCTTGCGGCGCCGGCACACCAGGTTCTAGTCCCGGTTGGGGCGCCGGATTCTGTCCCAGTTGCCCCTCTTCCAGGCCAGCTCTCTGCTGTGGCCAGGGAGTGCAGTGGAGGATGGCCCAAGTGCTTGGGCCCTGCACCCCATGGGAGACCAGGAGAAGCACCTGGCTCCTGCCATCGGATCAGCATGGTGCGCCGGCCACAGCGCACCAGCCGCGGCGGCCATTGGAGGGTGAACCAACGGCAAAGGGAGACCTTTCTCTCTGTCTCTCTCTCTCTCTGTCCACTCTGCCTGTCAAAAAATAAAATAAAATAAAGAAAGGCATAAAGAGAGAGAGAGAGATCTCCCATTTGCTGGTTCACTCCCTAAATACCTATAACAACCAGAGCTGGGCCAGGCCAAAGCCAGGAGGAGCCCAGAACTCACTCCAGGTCTCCCACATGGGTGGCAGGGACCCAAGCACTGGAGCCATCACCTGCTGCCTCCCAGGGTGTGATATGGGTCCCCAAGTGGCAGTGTAACCTCTGCACCAAATGCCCACCTCCCTGGTGTTAAATTTTCAGTGGTGCCTCTGTGAATATGCTGACCTCCGAGACCAACATCTGTAAATAAATCCCAAGAGAGTGGCTTACTCTGAGTGTAGCTGTGAGGTCTTGGGTAAGTTGCTTGCTTATCTCTGCCCTTCAGTTTCTTCATCTGCAAAATGGAAATAATACTGGCATGTACCACATACAGTTGGGATGAGGATTAAATGTGTCATGTGAATAAAACTCCTGAACTCTTATTGGAGAGGGTGACAAGTGTTCAAATGGGAGGCCCATTGTTCTGTAGGAGGTGGCTCAAGTGGCTCTGGTAACTAGTGTCACTGTATAATGTATTGTTGGGTATAGAGTTTTTGAGTGTCATTCAAAGAGGCACTATTAGGATGGGCATTTGGCATGGGGTTAAGATGCCACATGAGATGCCCACACCCCATACAGAATTCCTAGATTTGAGTCCCAGCTCTGTCTTTAATTCCAGCTCCCTACTGATGCCCACCCTCGGAGGCAGCAGCTGATGACTCAAGTACCTGGGTCCCTCGGGGCCGGCGCTATGGCGCAGCAGGTTAAAGCCCTGGCCTGCAGTGCCAGCATCCCATATGGGTGCCAGTTCGATGCCCAGCTGCTCCACTTCCAATCCAGCTCTCTGCTATGGCTTGGGAAAGCAGTAGAAGGTGGCCCAAGTCCTTGGGCCCCTGTACCCACGTGGGAGACTGGAAGAAGCTCCTGGCTCCTGGCTTCATTCGGATCGGTGCAGCTCCGACTGCTGTGGCCAACTGGGGAGTGAACCAGCGGATGGAAGATCTTTCTCTCTCTGCCTCTGCTTCTCTCTGTATAACTCTGATCTTCAAATAAATAGATAAATCTTTAAAAAAAAAAAAGTACCTGGGTCCCTGCCACCCATGTGGAAGACCCCAGCTGAGTGCCCTGACTGTTGTGGGCATTTGGGAGTGAACCAGTGAACAGAAATGTGTTTCTTTCTCTCCTCTCCCACTTTCTCCCTCTCTCCCTCTCTCTCTCTCTCTCTTAAAAATAAATAAATGATTTGGAATTGATTTGGAAAAGGGGGCATTATTGATAATTTTGTTGGGATAACATATCTGAAGTGGAGCTTCTGGGGTGAACTGGAATACACAGTCACACTAGTTCTGAACCCTTGACAGCTTTAGTGGTCACCATATGTGGCCAGCATCACACTGACAGCCCCTGGCCCAGAGACCGTGGCTATTCTGATTTGGCATTTGTTTAGATGCTGGCATAAGCTGCCAGGAGCCAGGCTATATTTGCTTGTGTTAGGTCTTCACATCCAGTCTTCTCATGCAGACTCCTAAGTGTCTGGGGACCAGGACCCATCCTAGATTTGCCTGTGACAGGAGTGAAGGGATCAGCGACTTGACCAAGAGAGGAGTAGCATTTGCCCTTTCCTGACTTCATGAAGACTCTTGGAAGCCTGCCCCTCAGTCCTAGCACACAGCGGTACATCAGGCACCTCGTCTCCTGCACGCTCTGCTCAGGGATCTCCCGACTTCCACTCCTGCCCAGATACTCCACTTTCCATGCAGCTAAAATCCCCCCTGCTGAAAGCCCTTTCAGTGACTTCCTTACTTTCTTTTTGGGTTCGTATTCTTTTTAAATTCTAGAAATAGGACTTGGTGCTGTGGCATGGTGGGTAAAGCCATTGCCTGCAGTGCAGCATCCATATGGGCGCCAGTTCAAGACCCGGCTGCTCCTCTTCCAATCCAGCTCTCTGCTATGGCCTGGGAAAGCAGTAGGAGGTGGCCCAAGTTCTTGGGCCCCTGCACCCACGTGGGAGACCTGGAAGAAGCTCCTGGCTCCTGGCTTCGGATTGGCGCAGCTCTAGCCGTTGTGGCCAACTGGGGAGTGAACCATCAGATGGAAGAGCGCTCTCTCTCTCTCTCTCTCTCTGCCTCTCCTCTCCCAGTGTAACTCTGACTTTCAAATAAATAAATAAATCTTTAAAAAAAACAAAATAAATAAATTCTAGAAATAATGGAAACGTTCTTGCTGTAAAATAATTCAAACATTGTAAATGGAAAGATCACATTCTTTGACAAATACTTCCTTTCCATTTCTCAACAAATACCAGTTCCCCCAGAAGTAAACAGCCTATACACACACATTCACATACACACACATTCACAATACATACACTCATTCACAATGCATACACACACATTCACAATACATACACACATACACAGCACATTCACAATACATACACACACAACAATACACATTCAGAATACATATGCATATACACAATACATACACACACAATACATGCACACACACATACTCATAATACACGTACGCAGTGACACACATACACACAAAATGTACACTTTTGCATTTAATTCCCACTTCCATCCTCCTGGCCTAGGTCAGCTATTATATCTGTAGCTTGTCTAACATTGTCTTAGAGAGCCTTCATATCAGCACAGGTCTACCTCAGTAATTTTAATAGCTACATATCATGCCATAGTTTCTTTGAAGTGTCTCCATATTTATGGAACTTTAAATTGTTTCTATCTTTTCATTATTACAAACTGGTATGGAAAATTCCTTGTCCAGGCCTTTCTGTATTTGCAATATAAATATTAACAAAGCCAACGTTGTGGTGCAGCAGGTTAAGCCACTGCTTGTGATGCTGGCATCCCATATCAGAGTGCTGGTTCCAGTCCCAGATACTCGGCTTCCAATTTAGCTCCCTGTTAATTCACCTGGGTAGGCAGCTGAGATGGCCCAAGTACTTGAGTCCCTGACACCCATGGGAACTTTTTTTTTTAACTTTTATTTAATGAATATAGATTTCCAAAGTACAGCTTATGGATTACATTGGCTCCCCCCCCCGATGACTTCCCTCCCACCTGCAACCCTCCCCTTTCTCGCTCTCTCTCCCCTTCCATTCTTATCAAGATTCATTTTCAATTTTCTTTATATACAGAAGATCAGTTTAGTATACATTAAGTAAAGATTTCAACAGTTTGCACCCACATAGAAACACAAAGTGAAAAATACTGTTTGAGTACTCGTTATAGCATTAAATTTCAATGTACAGCACATTAAGGACAGAGATCCTACATGAGGAGTAAGTGCACAGTGACTCCTGTTGTTGACTTTACAAACTGACACTCCTGTTTATGGCATCAGTAATCTCCCTATGCTCCAGTCATGAGTTTCCAAGGCTATGGAAGCCTTTTGAGTTCTCCGACTCTTATCTTATTTAGACAAGTGTGGGGAGCAACTCGGACTAGACTGTTACTGGAATTAAAACTTATTCTATGCATCTGCTCTCCCACAATATGGCGCTGAGAAGGGAGAAACAGCTTCTACACAGCTGCCTCCAGTTCAACCAATAAACTGTGGGACCTGCTCCTGATTGGAGGAGAGCAGCGTACTCGGCATGTGGGTAGCAGAGTTGGGATTGGTGGAAGAGGACTATAAAGGAGGAGAGAGACGGCATGCACCAGGAACATCTAAGGGGAACATCTAAGGGGAACACCTGTGCAGCCCCCGAGAGAGCCAGCCGGCGGTGTGCCGCTCCCCTGCGGAAGTGGGGAATGTGGCAGGGGGAACCGCCCTTCCACGGAGGTGGAAGGGTCGGTAGCCCACCCGGGAAGAACCAGCAGCAAACCCGGGGAGGGCCGAGCAGATGAAAGAACAGCGCAGGGTCCTGTGTCGTTCCTCCACGAAGAGGGGGAGCGACATAATGGTGCCGTGACTCGGATATGAAGCCTAGGCAGGGTTTAGTGTCGTTCCTCCATGAAGAGGGGGAGCGACAGACAAGGTCATAGTCAAAGTGGGAGTTCTCTCCTCCCTTCAGAGAAAGGTACCTCCTTCCTTCTTTGAAGACCTGTTCTTTCACTG